TTTTTTTTTTTTTTTTTTTGGGATAGCAAATTTCTGATATTTTTAGTGATAAGTACATAGGTCCTTGAGGGTGCACAGATCAGCATGGATGAATTTGAGATAATGAAGGACGTGATGATTCCCCTTGGCCGTGTGCCTCAATTCTCAACTCAGAGTGGAGGCTGAGCAACAAAAAACACGTACTCTATGCAATTATGATACCATTTTCTCCTACTCGAATTAGACACTTATGCTGCTGGGTATCAAACATGGAAGTCCCTGAAATTTGCCTCTGATTTCTTCTGTCTTGAACATAAAGTTGTTGGGGAGATAAAGTTTGCAAACCGGCTATTGGTTGGATTTTGACGTATATATATTTAAGTGTACCGTACGTGGATAACAATAGCACCATTGCTAGGCACAATCGTGGAACCAGGGGCAGGGCTAAAGAAGGACCAGTGTGGGCCTAGGCCCACATTGAAAAAAAAAAATGTTATCTTATATATCCTACTAAAAAAGTATTTAATTACAATAAAGAACAAAGGAAACACAAAGAAGGGAGAAAAAAATGATAATGAAAAAAAAAAAATCTATCATTCTTGTTAATTTTGGTGAAAATAAATCTAGTCATTTTTTTTGTTAGATTTGATATAAAATTTTAAAGTTTAAACTTGTAGCTAATTGAATGTTGTTTCTTAAAGGACTAATATATTTAAATTTTTGTGTGATTGATAACTTGTAGTGCTTTTAAAAGTGATATATTAGACAAAACATTTTATACAAAAAAGCGCATGTGAAAATATTTCAAATACTTTTAAACTTTTAGTCCAAATACACTTAAGGTGAATTATAATATTAATGTTAAGACGAAAAAAACTTTGAAGACTTCATCGTAGAGTCATATCAAACTATGAAAACTCATAAGAATTTTTGTATTTTTGTATTTATACTTTGTTATTGTTATGATGTTATAGGTTTATTTTTTAAGAAACAAGTAGGCCACCACTCATATTATGAGCTAGATCCGCCCCTGATCGGAACAGTCTTTCCAATCGTTTTTGTTAAGGTTGTGTTTGGCTCGAAAGATTTGAAAGTCCAAGGTATTTTACATTTCCTACTTTAAAATTACGTGTTTGGATTCAGATCGATTTGTGAAAAGGATTACAACCTCATTCTCCCTGGCTCTCGGTTCACAATGACAGTGTTGGCATGTTGTTGTAGTGTATAATACGAAGGTGGCATTATTGAATTTGGATCAGGCGCAACCAGCCTTGCGCTTCTTTATTGGGTAAGACTATGAGTTATCAATCTTTTGTGCATGATTCCAGGTCCCAATACGAGAACCATGGAAATATGATTCATGTTGGAAAAGGATGACATATCTTATAGAGCTTAAAATCTAAGATGTGGATGACCTCTATGCAATAATCCTAACAGCATGGTTTTTTTATTTATTTTTTTTTTTATTTTTTATTTTTTATTTTTTTTTATCTCGAACGTATTTATGTATCGACTGCTCATATTTTCTAGGAAATATATCGTCATGATGATAGTCATCATATCATCATCATCATGACTGTTCCTTATCATATGATTAGTTATTGTTTTAACTTTTCTGCACAGATGTGTAAAGTTTGCCACAAGCTTGTCTGCAGAAAATATTGTGATTTTACTGCAAGCTACTGTATATTTTTAGACTTTTACTTCCAGATTAGATAATGTTATTTTAGATATTAAGAATATTTATTTTTCTTAATAAAAGATTTCACCATTCTAAACAGCAACAATACTCGTGCACTGCCAAAGAGGAGTTAAATCAGATATTGGGGGAGATTTGCGACAACTTTAGCCGTTGTGTTGCATCAGAGCCCTACGATGCTTCTCATGTGGCTTCCTGTATTCCCCTTTTGACCCTAGCTTTGGTGCTGAGAGAATTTCTATAACTTATAATGTGGAAGAACCATGATGGATTCAGCATTGTGCTCACGAGCAGCGTATATCCACTATGATGATAGGGCCCAAAACATGGTTAGACTTTGCATTGATCGTGGTTCTCGACCCTGCCCACATCCCCCATGTGAATGCAACCGGCGCTATCTAGTCCCTGTCTAGGCGCTAGGAGTTGGTCGGACACTTAGCGACTTCTAGAATAATGACCCTTATTAGGACTATAAAATAATCAGGGGATAAACACTAGCAAAAGCTACTCCAAAACTTATAATGACCCTTATTAGGACTATAAAATAATCAGGGGATAAACACTAGCAAAAGCTACTCCAAAACTTGGCCAAACACTCGCCAAAACAAACCCAAAAAAAAAAAA